GACAGAATATTCAATCAAGGTACAGTCACTTAAATATCAAATCACTGTTTGGTGAACTAACGGCAGAAGTAAAATAAGAATTCCCTTTTCAATTTTACTGTAAATGTTCTTGAAATAATGAAACTAAGTAGACTCATTGTTTAAAGGTATGACTTTGTTGTGTAATTTTGTAGAGTGAATTGATTATTTTGTGTATACTTGCTTTGGATATACATTTTGGGCTAAATGTACTGTTCAAGTATTGGACATCTCAAGCTGCTGGACAAATGGCTAGCCAAAATGTTCAAGTGGGATAGGAATGGATATGTTAGTTCAGTTCGTATCCTACCTGAGAGGGAAGTGTCCTTCAGATGGCTGAATTCCTTAACATGGTGTATGCACATCTCTTTCTTCAATATTAAGCCTTGAATATTATAGTCACCCTAAATTACATTCTATAATATCCTTCAAATAACAAAAGTTTAGAAATTATATAAAACATATTAAAAATAATAAAAATTTCATGTCCTTGGATCAAACTAAATTATCCGACATTTCTCTGGTACCTACATAGAAAGCATTAATACTTGCTTTAAAAAACAATGTTTTGCTGTCTGATGATTCTAATGACAATAAATCTATATCCTTGACTTCTTGATCTTCAAATTTCTTTTTTTCTATCACCAAATCATTTTATGGCAAAGATGTGTGTGTGTGTGTGTGTGTGTGTGTGTGTGTGTTTCCTGGGTCTTGAATTCAGGCCTAGGAACTGTCCTTGAACTGTCCTTGAGATTTTGTGATTAAGGCTAGAGCTTTACCACTTGAGCCACAGATTCAATTCCTTTTTGTTTGTTTGTTTTTGAGGGTTTTTTTGTGTGTTTAATTAAAGATAAATTAATTGGAATTTCCTGCCTATGCTAGCTTTGAATCTCAATGCTTAGATCTTAGCTACCAGAGTAGTTAGATTTACAAGCTTGAGATGGAGTTGTCAGAAATAGTAAGGATTTTTAATTAAAACAAAATTCAAAATTCAAGGTGACCATGAAGTGGAATGACATAAGAATATTTCTGGATCATGTTGGAATCTCAAGAAGGTAAAGTGAGGCTAATTTCTTATTTCATAAATTGTCTTAAGAAAAAATGTATGGCTCTCTATTTCTGGGTTTAAACAATGCACTCTTTTCCAAACCTATAGAAAGCAGAAAAAATAATGTTATATTGCTGCTTTTCTCTTTGCAAAAAGTCTTGGGTTTGGTTGTGTCACATAGTTTAAATGGACATTACTTTATTTTACTGAATTCATACTGCCAATCTAAGCCACTCCATAATGAGCTGGAAGCAATATTATATGCTTTTCAAACTAGAAATTGGAATGTTTTTAATGTAATGGTGAATTTCTGAATGTACTTGAAGTATTATGTTTATTATTACTATTATCTTCATTTCTGTGGTACACAGTGACAATTTTATCTATGCATAAAGTGTATTATGTTTAAATGAAGTAATTAACATATTTTCCTTTGATTTCAAATGAATCTTTTATTCAAAATCTTACCTAAGCAAAAATTACTTTGGACATTGAGTGAGGAGGATGGAGGTGATTCATTAGGAGTAATGAGATTCCAACCATTTACTTCTTAGCACATTTCTCTCCTTTATCAGGTAAGTTATCTCCATCTATAGTTCGTTGTATTTCATGTGACCTAAAATGAAATTCTTCCATACCTCAAAGAGAGTTGAATACCAATCCTTGTAACTTCTGTTAACCAGGTGACAGTGTTTTATAATTAGCGGTGACAGGAAAATTGACTAAATAACTTCCAGTATACTGAGAGCAGAAGTTAAAAATTTTGCCCCTATTAAATGGAATGAAGAGAATGACATATGCATCTTTACAAACACAGGAGGGGAATTTGATCTCCACCATGCATACTCACAGAATGAAGTTACACATAATGCTTCAATTATGATAATCTCTAATACCCTGACATACCGAAAGCTGAAATTCTGTTAGCGCAACAACAGATTTTTTTAAAAACTCAATTTAAACCGTGGTCCTGGTGGCTCATGCCTAAAGATCCTACTCAGGAGACTTAAATATAAGGATCATGGTTCAAAGTCAGCCCAGGCAGAGAAGTACGTGAGACTTTTATCTTTAACAAACTACTCAGAAAAAAATCTTGCAGTGTAGTTGTGGTTCAACTGATGGAGAGCTAGTCTTGAGCACAAAGAGGCTCAAGGACAGTGCCTAGGCCCACAGTTCATGCTCCAGGAGTGGCAAAAACTGAAAAAAATCAATCTAATAGCCCATAAATGTAGTGTTGCATGTATAATTTTACTTCATTGAGGAAAAAACTCTTTTCCAGAGGTGAATGAATTGTTCAATTTTTACAGAACTAAGGATATATGTAAGCACAGGACAAAAAAATGTTTCTTATTGTTTCTCTTAAGTGTTTAAAAATATCACCATATGATGTATTTTACTGAATAATATATTTTATGAATAATGCTTTTTAATTGATTATATGTGCTTGTATTTTGTACAAATGAGCTGTCAATTTTCACTTTGTTTCTTTTTATATTTTTTGTGTTGGTCCTGGAGCTTGATCTCAGGGTCTGAGGTGCTGTCCCTGAGTGTTTTATTCAAGGTTGGCCACAATGTCACCTCTGGCGTTTTAGTGGTTATTTGTAGATAAAAGTTTCTTGAGCTGTCCTGGCTTTGAACTGTGATCCTCAGGTCTCAACCTTCTAAGTAGCTACAATTACAAGAGTAAGCAACTGGTTTCTGGCTACATGCTGAGAATATGATTTTTATATATTTGGACAAATGATGTTTTAATCTTCTTTTCACTTTTTTTTAACACTTTGTCTATCATTCCAAATTCCTCTAGGAAAACATCTCTTATTTTACAGTTGGTAGTAACATGTAAATCAGTATACACCTATAACTATTCAAAATATATTACCAATTGTGAAACTCATATTCCAAAAGTTATTAACATAATAAAAGATTTTAATCAATTTTGTACTTCAAGCGATATCTGTATCTCTCAGCTCTTTTAATATTTTTATTTACAGATTATGTTTTATTCTGAGATACATAATATTGAATTATGTTGTATTTTCATTAATTACTTAAGATGTGCTGTCTGATGAAATTTAGTCTATTTAGTGGTGTGTTATAATTTCTATTGAATACATTTTTTTTTTGGTCCAGTCATAGGGCCTGAACTCTGGGCCTGGGCGCTGTCCCTCAGCTCTTCAGCTCAAGGCTAGCACTCTACCACTTAAGCCACAGTGCCGTGTCCGGTTTTTTTCTTATGTGGTACTGAGGAATCGAATCCAGGGCCTCAGGCATGCAAGGCAAGCGCTCTACCACTGAGCCACCTTCCCAGCCCTTTATTGAATACATTTTAAAACCCATTATTTGATTTTATTAGAAGTGTGATAAAATATGACTCAAATACCATTGCATGATGGTAATGTAAAAATAATCTAGACTATTATGAAACAATAAACTGTATGAAGAATTTGTCTAGATTTTCATAATTCTAAATCATGTAACTAGAATAGTAATTACATTGAAAATTTCTTTCTCAGTTTTCAAATTTTTAAAAAGAATATAATTTTTAGTCTTATATAAGAATTTAATTTTCCTTTTTACCTCAAGAATAATCACTGTACTTTGTAAACACTGAAAGAATTTAGGACTGCTTTAGGCAATTTTAGCAAGTATATTTTAATTAGGAAGACTTTATGCATTACAGAAATCTATACATCAGACCTCCTTTAAATTCATAGCCTTCATTTATAATTTCTTGGCATGCTACACCTGTCAAAAATATTTGCTTGCACATTATTGTTTATCTTCCACGTCATAATTTCTTCTCCAAATTTACAATTGCAAACTCAATTACTGAAAGAAATTCATGTTATTTCAGAAAAGCTGTGTTTTATTACCTTTCTACAAATATCATTATGTCTTTAATACTTATTTATAATCAATATAATTACAGATTGAGAAATTAGTAAAGAATTGTTCAAATTAAACTGGGTTTGACTATCAGTGTTATGCTACACAGCCTCCATATATGAATACACTGAGCAAAAGTTTACATAAAAAGACAGGAATCAAGCTGAGCATTAGTGTCTTAGGCCTGTAATCCTAACTACTCAGGATGCTGAGGTCTGAGGATCTCAGTTCAAAGCTAGCCTGGAAAGGGAAGGTCAGGAGATGATATCTCCAATTAGCCAGTAGAGAAGCAGAAATGGCACTGTTGCTCAATGTGGAAGAGGACTAGCCTCGAGCAAAAAAGCTCAGGGATATTGTTCAGGTGCTGAGTTCAAGAACCATGACTGACAAAAAAAAAAAAAAGCTCCACTCTGAAATTGTAAAACATCTAAAAAAGGGAATGAACTTTACATACCATATGAAGACATTATTTTTATTAACTCTTAAATAGTTGCAAAAAGGAGTTGCATTTAACAAAACACACAATGAATACAATATATCTTGGTCAATATCACTCCTTTTTAAATTTATTTAAATGTTTATATGCTAAATCTACCTTTCACATGAAAACATGAATCCTTCATAAAGACCTTATTTTTATTTCATATTTAAGCTGTGCTACTAGGAAAACCGCTTTGTATTAAAGATACTTTTGTGAATTATAATCTGTAATTAAAAGTTTTATGAAAAGCACTTGAAGATATTGAATACAATGTGCCATGGAGAATAATAAGCTAACTTCACTACATGCTCAGCATGCCTAAAATGCAAATTTGGAGACATCATATAGTTTGATGTCAATATGTATAATTATTACTGGGTATTTAAACGTTTGAAAGAAATTAGACTATTTTTGTCAGATATAACTTAAGTACAATGAATGTGAAAGAAATACAGCCATGTAATCTACTCTTGAATATGTCATTCTTAATAGATATAGTGTTCTCTCACAAAAGATATCAACATTAGTACTAGCCTTTACCTCTGCTTGTATATTTCAATTTAGGCCATGGAAACTGGAAATTGCAGTACAGAGATGGATTTTATACTTGTTGGTCTTTTCCAATATGGACACATGAATAGTTTTCTATTTGCTGTCATCGCCATCCTCTTCTCTGTGGCTCTGGTGGGAAATATCACACTGATCCACCTCATTCGAGTGGACTCCAAACTCCACACTCCTATGTACTTTCTCCTCAGCCAGCTCTCCACCATCGACATGATGTACATCTCCACCACTGTACCCAAGATGGCAGCTAACTTTCTCTCCAATACCAAGACAGTTTCATTTGTGGGCTGTGAGATTCAAGCCTTTGTGTTCCTCAGCCTTGGAGCCTCTGAGGCCCTTCTTCTGGGTTTCATGTCTTATGATAGATACATAGCCATCTGTCATCCTTTGCGGTATCCTGTGCTCATGAGCTGGAGGATCTGTTGGTTCATGGTCACCTGTGCATGGAGCAGCAGTTCTATCAATGCTTTAGTGCACACAGTCTATGTGTTTCAGCTTCCATTCTGCAGATCCAGAGTCATTAATCACTTCTTTTGTGAAGTTCCTTCTATTCTGCCATTAGTGTGTCAGGACACATCCCAGTATGAGTACACAGTTCTCTTGAGTGGCCTAATAATTTTGCTGTTCCCTTTCATGGCCATTCTAGCTTCCTATGCTCGGGTACTTGTTGTTGTGTTCCAGATGCGCTCAGGTAAAGGACAGACAAAAGCTCTTTCCACTTGTTCCTCCCATCTCATTGTGGCAAGCATGTTCTATGTAACTACTCTGTCTACCTACACCCAGCCACACAGGTTACATTCCCCTTCCCGGGACAAGGTGGTGGCAGTGTTTTACTCCATCGTCACTCCTCTTCTGAACCCGTTTATCTATAGCTTGAGAAATAAGGAGGTTCTGGGAGCCATGAAGAGACAATTAGACTCACACACATTAGTATAGAATTATGGTCTTAAGAATCTCTCATTGATCAGGAATTCACAAAAGAGGTTTTCCTGAAGACTCCCTGGGAAAATGTAAAGACAGACATTTGGAATAGAAACCTGAGAATATGTTTACAAATCTTCTTGTGAAGAAATACTAGGCTGCTTTGTCACGTGAATCCTATCTTTTTGGATACCTTCAGTGTATACTGTAAGAATTAAAATCTACTCAAACATTTACCATGAATGCACTTCATCCCTTAAAGAGAAAAATGTAGATTTCTCATTTTGACTTTAAGTCAACGAATTGTTTAGCAATTCAACTTTCATACCGTTTTAATCAATGTTTATATAAGAATAAACAAAAATAAATTTTCAGAAATCTGTTTAAACTTTGTAAATAATAATACTCAGAAGCAATACAGGATATGTTGAAGGAGTCTCATAAAATTAAATATTTCTTGTGAAGCCTATTGTTTTTTTGTATTGTAATGTTTTTATTTTTGAAAATTTATCAAATGTATTTTAAAGGGCACTTGCATAACCAATTGACTATAAAACTTCAACATAACCTCTTCCCCCCTTTATTTTGGTAGAATGTTGTACTTATAACTTTTAAATTGGCAAATATGCAATTATATATAAATATGTATAATGTATATATAATAATGTAAATATGATGCCTTTGAATCATGCATACATTAAAAATTGTTTCTATTAAGCAAATAAACATAAACCACCACACATAATTTTCTTTTGTGATGAGAACATTAATACTCTCTATTAATTTTTACATGTAAAATATATTATTATATCACTAAATTTTACAATAGATACCTTGACTCTTGTCTTATAAATTTTACATCTTTTGACCATATCATCAAAACCTGTCCCAGCTCATAACATTAATCAACATTGTAGTCTGTTTCTTACATTTAACAACCAAATGGTTGAAGCCTTTGGTTTAATTAGGTATGAGTTCCTAATTTAATATTATGTTTTGAACCATTTGTTTTTATGTTAAATTTGGCAGTGTTTACAAGGAAGAAAAATACAAATTTAAATTGTAAGAAATAAAATAAAATAAGAAAAATAAAAAAGTCTTCAAGGAATATAATATGTTCCTCAGAAACTTCTTCAAAATTTATTATCTAGAATGGAGACCACTAACCAAACATATGGCCTTTTGGTTTAATGGGCAGATGACTTTTTCAGACTTGGTTTCAGTGTTTTAAACATTTTCTTTTTGTTTTAAAGGGATTTATTTTTTAAGCATTACTACTTTTTATTCTCTACAGAACTGGGTTTTTTTAGTTCTTTTTTTATTGTAAAGATGATGTACAAAGGGGTTACATTTACGTGAGTAAGATAATGACTCTATTTCCTATGGAGCATTGTTACCTCCTCCTTTGTTTTTCCCCTACCATCCCACCCCTCCTCACCTCCCCACATCCTCCCTTCCCCTTGAAGTTGTAAAGCTCACTTTCAACATAGTGTCTTGTACATCTCATACAATGCATCAATCTGTGTCCTTGTTTCAACATTTTGTTATTTCCCTTCTCTTCCCCGAATTAGAAAAAAGTATATACAAGATGCAGGGTACTAGAATCAAATACAGTGACAACATGGGTTATACCATAGAAGGAAGAACATAGAAAAGAAACAAAAAAATAACATAGTACATTAAAAACAACAGTAATAAAGTAAAAACCTATTTGTCCCTATCCTGGGGTTCATTTTGCTTAGCATCATCTTATATGGTCATATGTACCTAGCTTTTGACCTTTTCTGCCTGTCTGTTAAGATTATCCTAGACATATACTAGTTATTGCAAATAAGTGAAACCATGGGACCTATGTTTCTTTGGGTCTGGCTTACTTCATTAATATGATTTTTTTCTAGGTCTTTCCATTTCCTAACAAATGGGGCAGTGTCATTCTGATGGAGGCATAGAATTCCATTTAATATATACATATGTATATATATATACACCATAGCTAAGATATATATATATCATGTTTTCTTGAGCTGTTCTTTTATTGAGGGGCATCTGGGTTGGTTCCATATCTTAGCTATGGTAAATAATGCTGCAATAAACATAGTTGTGCTGGTAGCTTTAGTATTGTCTTGTTTGTGATCATTTGGATAAACACCCAAAAGTGGGATTGCTGGGTCATAGGGGAGCTCTATGTGTAATCTTTTGAGTAACCTCCATACTGCTTTCCAAAGTGGTTGAACAAGTTTACACTTCCACCAACAATGCAGTAGGGTTCCTTTTGGCTACACCCCCTCAAGCATCTTGTGTTATTAGATTTCTTTCTTTTTTTCTTTTTTTTTTATTGTGAGAATACCGTACAGAGGAGTTATGAATACATGGGCAAGATAACAAGTACATTTCTTAACAAGCATTGTTGCCTCCTCATTGTTTCCCCTTCCCATCCCTTTCCCCCACCCGATTCTCCCCCGACCCCCCACCAAAGTTGTTAAGTTCGTTTTTCTGACATAACGACTTGTACATCTCATTGTTGCAATGGGTCCACCAGTATCCCTTAACGATTTGTTTTGGAAAAAAACAAATCGTTATTAAATTTCTTGATTACAGCTATTCTAAGTGGAATGAGGTAGAATCTGTTTTGTTTTGATTTGCATTTCTTTTATGGCTAGAGAAGTTGAGCATTTCTGCATGTGCCTATTGGCCATTCTTATTTCTTCTTCAGAGAAGTCTCTCTTTAAGTCTTTAGCCCACTTATTAATTAGGCGGGGGTTTTTTTGTTTTTTTTTTTAGGATTTGTGTTAGGGGATTTAATTTTTTGAGTTCTAAATGTCTTTTAGATATGAGGACCTTGTTTGTTGTATGGCTAGTGAAGATCTTTCCCCAGTCGCTGAGCTTTCTATTATCTTACTAGCTATATCCTTTGCTATGCAGAAGCTCTGGGGTTTCATGCAATCCCATTTGTACAACCTTTCTTTGATTTGTTGTGTTTCTGGGTCTGTATTAAGAAAATTTCAGCCTCTGCCAAAGAGCCCTAGAGTTTTTCCTATTCCTTCCTGTAATGTTTTCAGGGTTTCTGCTTTGACCCTGAGGTCTTTGATCCATTTGGAGTTGATTCTGGTGCAGGGTGATATATAAGGTTTTAGCTTTAGATTTATACCGGTGTTTAACCAATTTCGCTAGCACCATTTACTGAAGAGGCTGTCTTTCTTCTATTGTCGTGTTTTAGCTCTTAAAGGGATTTAATTTTTTAAAAATTGCAAACATTTATACTTGTTAATACCTTTTAGTCACATGCTTAAATGATATAATGTGATATTTCAATATAAGTACAAATTGTGCAATGATCAAATTAAGGCCATTACCATGTCATTGTTTTTCTTCCTTGTGTCGATAGTTAAAACCTTTTTGTAGATGTTTAAAGTATGTGTTGAGATAATTTTGGCTACAGTGATTTTCATCTTACTGCAAAATAGAGCTCCACAATTAATTTTGCCTAACTAAACTTTATACCCTGGACCAACATCTCTTCTTCTCCTCCCTCTCCCATGCCTCATAGCCACCATTCTAGTTTCCAATTCTACTATTTGATGATTTTAGCTTTTACAGACAAGAGGGCTTATTTGGCTTCATCTTTCTGTTTCTGTTTTATTCCACTTAATACATAGTGAGTTTGATTAAAATTTCTGTATAGAGTTTTGGAATACTACAGTGAAACCCGTTGGAACAATACACCCACTTGGACAGGAAATTTAAACAGATTAATTCCATGGGACAATAGGACATTCGGTAACTGACAGTGAAAGAGGCTGAATAAGGTCAAAATACATTGTGAAAATAGAACAGAGCATTGTGAATTGTTTGAGTTGTAAGCAGGGTGATGACAAGACATGATTGATGGATTGATGGTATAAGACTGAACTAGTTATAGTGCACACATATATAGACCTAACAAAATGAAATTCTATTGTACAACCAATACATACTAATGAAAACTGTGACAACATATATATGTTAAAAGTAGCCGGCCAAGGCCAACGAGGAGAGGAAATGAAATGAAAATGCCTGCTGAATAAAATATTATGTTCTTTGAATAGAGTACATGTAATTGTGGCCTGGAGACCAAGTTTTCCCAGAAAGACTCTGAGAGAAAGACTATGAAGTCAAAGCTTCATTAGGCAGTCAGTCCATTTAAATTATAGCACTAAAACAGTACTTCACAAGATGAGGAAAACTACATTTCTCTTTAAATTCTATTTTCCATGGAATATATGAATGGGTGCAGTGTAAGTTTGTTATCTGAAGCAACAAACTAAAAAAATCTTACAACTTACTAGTATGATACCAGTTTTGAATATGTGTATCAAATTAGAAAAATAGGCAGTTTCATTTTGAATTCCTTTTCAAAAGCCAGCTTTACTCATATTGTTTAACTTTTTATCTCTGTGTTCTAAATAATCAACATATATTGTAAGTTTTATCTATAAGTTAATCAAAAGGATTTTTGTGACTTTATATTTTCTGCTTCTTAGCACCTTGTCAGTGAATCCTTCTGTATTTAGTTGTGCAGATAGATTTCCTTTTGTCTTAGGATTTCACATTTAACTTAAGTTTTAGAAAAAGAGTTATCTGTTTAAAAAGAAGCAATAATTGAAATGGGGGCCAGTGGCTCCCGCCTGTAATCCTAGCTACTCAGGAGGCTGAGATTTGAGGATCCCGGTTCAAAGCCAGCCCAGGAAGGAAAGTCCGTGAGACTCTTATCTCCAATAAAAACCACCAGAAAACCAGAAGTTCTGCTGTGGCTCAAGTGGTAGAGTGCTAACCTTGAGCTGAAGAGCTGAGGGACAACGCCCAGGCCGAGTTCAAGCCCCACAACTGACCAAAATAAATAAATAAATAAAAAAGAAGCAATAATTGAAATTACTTTATAAAATGAGAGAAAACTTATTTGCCTGGTATGTAGGGAAAAACTATGCACCTTCAAGGCTACTTCTTATTGCTTTCAAAGCCAAGGTTTGGTCAAGGCC